GGCGGCGTGATGGCATTGCCACAACCAAGCCTGTATTTAGTTTTTCCTGCACTCGCTTTGTTTTAGATGAAAAACACACTATATCGTCCTGAACAAAACTTCCATATAATCCTTAATTTTTTTTTTGAGGAGTTTCACAGAACTTAGCTGAGTAATTTCTAGATCCCAATCAATTAAAAATGGCCATCTCCTCTGGAGTTTATGTTATGAATTTCAGAGTGGGCTAGACTCCTGTCACATATTTAAAAAGGTACAAAAACAAACAGTATGGGACATGTGAAGAATCTGGTTGGGGGATCCCTAGGGTTACCTACAAATTTTGCTAATTTCGAAAAGGACAGTAAGGTTATTATGGTAGTAAGTCTTAAACGTAGGGTTATGCCATGCGTAGCTGAGAACAACCATACTTGGTTGTCCCATATTTTTTACGGATCAGGAACAGTTGGCCCATTGCAGGTAAGCCCTCTGTAAAAGTGTTCAGAAATGCTCTTGACTTGACTGCATAATGTCATCATAAAGTTCAGGATCTTCAGCACAGACAGCTATGGCTTTGTGGAAGACCAGGGCCTTTCAGAAATGGTAATGTTTGCTGTTCTGTGCTCATTAATGGGCCGAACGCTTTGAAAGCCACCAGGGTCCTTTGTCAAACAGCTGCTGCTTTGCAACAGCTCCACAAAGCTCTTCAGGAGCAGAGCTCATGAATCAGAGAGAGAGTTTCAGAGTCATTCATATTCATAGATTGTGAGGCTGGAAGGGACCTCGAAAGATCATTGGGTCCAGCCCCCTCCATCAAGCAGGAAAGCCAACTGTGACTTAGGTGACCCCAGCAAGGTGACTGTCCAGTTTCCTCTTGAAGATTTCCAGGGTAGGTGATTACACCACCTCTGGAGGGAGCTCATTCCACAGTCTGGACACCCTGGTTGTGAAGTTTTTCCTAACGTTGAGCCTGAATCGATCTTCCAGGAGTTTGTGGCCATTACTTCTGGTTTTCCTCTTGGGTGCCCTGGTGAACAGTTGCTCACCGAGCCCTTGATGTACTCCTCTAGTGTAGCAGTAAGCTGCTACCAGATCCCTTCTCATCCTTCTCTTCCTTAGGCTGAAGAGTCCCAGATCCCTCAGCCTTTCCTCGTATAGCTTACCTTTTTAAGACTCTGATCATACGGGTGGCTCTTCTTTAGACTCTCTCAAGCTTGTCCACATCCTTGTTGAAGTGTGATGCCTAGAACTGGATGCAGTGCTCCCACTGTGGTCTCACCAATGCTGAGTAGAGCGGAAGAATCACCTCCTTGGTTTTGCCGGAGCTGCATCGATTGATTCATACCAGAGTATTATTTGCTTTACTGGCTACAGCACTGCACTGCCAGCTAATATTCATATTGTGGTCTATTATTACCCCCAACTCCCTTTCATTTGTGGTGCTAGTCAGTTTGGTGCTGCCAAGCCTGGTGTGTTGGGCATTGCTCGTCCCGAGGTGGAGCACTTTACATTTCTCACTGTTGAACTTTACCAGACTGCAATCCGCCGAACTTGCCAGCCTGTCTAGGTCCTCCTGTATCTGTAGCCTATCTTCAAGCGTGACTACGCTTTCCCATAACTTGCTGTCGTCTGTGAACTTGGCCAGTGAATTTTTCACCCTCACATCCAAATTGTTAATAAAGATGTTGAAAAGTACTGGACTGAGCAACAACCTCTGTGGGACACTGCTGCCCACTTCTCACCAGGATGACACAAACCTGTTCACTACGACTCTCTGGGTCCTGTCCTGCAGCCAGTTTCTCACCCACCTGACTGTCTTGGAGTTAAAGCCACAATCCTCCAATTTTCTCTTGAGGACATCATGGGTTAGTAGATGAAAAGCCTTTTGGAAGTCAAGGTATACAATGTCAACCTGGTCTCTCGTGTCCAGGTGGTGAGTTACCTGGTCATAGAAGGAGATGAGGTTGGGAAGGCAAGACCTGGCCATGACAAAGCCATGCTGGCTGTCATTCCGGATCTTACCTTCTGCAAGCCTATAGCAGATAGACTCCTTGATGAACTTTTCTAGGATTTTCCCTAGGATGGAAGTTAGGCTGATTGGCCTATTGTTACCCGGGTCCTCCCTCCTGCCCTTCTTGTGGATGGGCACAACATTGGCCCTCTTCCAGTCCTTGGGGACTTCTTCAGAGGACTATGAGTTGTGGAAGAGTTTCTCCAGGGGCTCCGCAATGACTTTGGCTAGCTTCTTCATCACTCTTGGATGAAAATCATCCAGTCCCGCTGACTTGTATATGTCAGTTTTTTTTAATTGGTCATACAACAATTCTACGGTAATAGTAGGAAGGTGATTATTCCGACTATGCTCATCCTGTACTCTAGCTGGTGTGGTTTTCCCCTTGGTCCAGTGAAAGACCAAAGCAAAGTAGTCATTCAGGAGTTCATCTTTCTCCTGGGTTTCAGGAAACAGCTCTCCTGAGTTGCTGAGCAATGACTCCACACTCCCGTTTGGTTGCCACTTTAGCCCATCTCTTCTGTTCCCTGTAAAAGTGGGCCATTGTGGAACAGTCCTCCTTGGGGCCCACCCCAAGCTACCATTGTTTATAAGCCTCTTTCTTCTTTCTTAAGAGGACCGTGATTTCCCTGTTTAACCAAGAGGGCTTCCCAGCCCTTCTGTTACCTTTTCTCTGCATGGGAATGAACTTTCTTTGTGCTTCAAAACATGAAGTAGTGTGTCGGGATCATTTTTTCTGACAAGCTGCAGGGTGCCACGCAGGGAGCATGTACAGGGGACATGCCCTGTGGCCGTGTGCTGCAGCCAGCGCACACTGCCCACGCCCCCCTGCCAGCTCCCCATGCAGCATCGTGCAGCTGCACGCCATGCCCCCTCCCCCCCAATGCTGGGAGAACCTGCCAGCTGTGGGTGGTGAGGCACATGGAGGAGGGGGGGAAGGAGCACGCAAGGCATGGGGAGCACCCACATCCTGTAGCACGCGGGGCAGAGCACACCCCCCACTCCTGCTCCCCATGTGACACCCTGCAGCCAAGTTCCCTGCCCCTCCCATGTTTTGGTGCTCCTGGCAGGGTGTGGCACGCAGGGAGGGGCATGGCCACAGGGTGCCGCAGGGGGGACACACCATTCGGGGGGTGCTGCCTGCACCCCCCTGCCCACTCCCATTGCAGCACACTTAGGACTGTGCACCACACCCCCCACCCCGGCATGGTCTGCACCACACCCAACCCCACCCCCATGGCCACAAGCCACCTCCCCGCACAGCTGGTCCCTGCAGGGGGGAGCACAGTCTGGCCCCGCCCCCTTGGCCCCCACCTTTGCCTCCTCCTGTCCATCTGTCTGTCCTAAGTCTCCAGGCCACGCATCTGCAGTTGGCCTGGACCGTTATGGACAGACAGACAGAAGTGGAGAACACGACACAGGGGACACAATGGTGGGAGTCTACTACAGGCCTCCCACCTAAAGTCAAGAGTTTAACCAAGAGTTCGCCTGGGAACTGGCCGAGATCGCATGCTCCAGGACCATGATTGTCATGGGTGACTTCAATTA